TCATTTAGTGAATAACCACGAAAGTCTTAAAATCTATAAAGAATAAAGATGGCCATGATTTGACGACTTTTTAGACATTTTTGGCGAAATTTTACCATCTTTTACAATTCTATCGTTAAAACTATCAATAATAAGTTCATGACTATTTAAATTTTTTACGAAAATTGGAACCCCGTAAATGTCATTTTACTCCGTCTTCAAAAAAAAACAGACTTTAAACATTCGAGCTAAATACAAAACCTGGCCTAAATCCTATGCGCCATTTTGGTTTTTTTTAATAGTATCGATTTGTTTTTAAGGTCACACATTAATCAATTAACATAAAGATATAACGCTATATGACAAAATCACCGCAAGAGAATGGTTTCCATCGAGTATATAACCAGAATCAGAGACGAAATACGGGCCATCCATCCCTAGCAACTCATCAGGCAAATGGGCCTTATATCGCTTTTAAATATCAACTCTCGTTCTGAAATCATAAATTAGAAAGCTGAAATAGTACAGCGCCAACAACTGACCTGTGTGTACGTCTCTGTATATTTTAAAAATATTATGTATTTATTGTAATAAAGATAATGTCTCTACCTATGGGGTTGTTCATTCGGAGGTGTGGGAAAAACAGCAAAACATCTAATTACAAAACAAACTGAATCGTTCATTTCATCGGTAATTAAATATTAAATATGTAATTTTTCAATTTTCGTCCATTATAGCAAAGCTCAAGTTAAACTGGTCGTTTGAAGTGAAACAATTGACGACACCCGTCAATTGTTTCAAATTCGGGCCGGCCAATCGGAGCGCAGTTGTCACCGTAATGATATTCCAGAATAGTTTTCAAACAAATTAAATTACATTTCGTCTCTATTTCTGGTTATATATTCGATGCCGCTTTCAAAATGTGTTAAACTTTTACGTTTATTATTACAGGTCGCACAGCACGACGGCTCACAGAAAAGATAGCAGAGTTGGACACGTACAGCGAGGTACTCGGCAAACAGGCGGTGCAACTGCAGCAGTATTTCGCGATGTGCGTTGCTGCTGCTCAGAGTAACAGCGATGAAGCTGTTGAAGCTATTGACGCAGTCACATTGGCTGATGGTAAATGTGAAGGTGAGCTTTACTTTAGACTGTAATGATATTATACATATTTCTTAACCAATTTCACATGCGTAGAATATGTACAATACCTACTTCGAGCAGTAGTACATTACTTAAGAAATGATTGGTTCTCCACACAAACTTTCATCCCCTATTTCACCCCGTTTAAGATTTATTTTTGTTTCATTAAGAGTCTATACAACCTCAAGTGGCTTTATGTTGATTCCGCATAACAGTGAAAGTGAATCACTTTGGAAAACACAAGAAATTATAGTTATATTTTTATTTGAAATTTTTCATGTGTAAAGTGTGTCGATTCGATAAACGTTTACATTGATTGTTTATTTGACGACATAAGGCCCTTTATGCGACGATATAGTGACTTTTTAATAGCAGTAGAGCTCCTTGTGAAAGAATTCGTCCAGGAAACTACAGTCACCTTACCTATTTCTGCCGCCAAGCAGTAATGCTAGCATTACTGCATTCCGGTATTGAAGGGTGTGATGAAATTACAGTCACGCGGGGCTTCAACTTTATGTTTCAAGGTAACGGGCGCAGTGGTTCAGATCTTTGCGGTTTAAATCTCTGATTGGCACTGTGACTGTTATGGGTAGGCGTTCCTCTTATCACCAAGCACACGACTTGTTCGTCCCGCCGCTTGATATCATAAAAAAAACATATTGCGTATACGTAATCAAATAACGTTTACTATGGGAATCTCTATGAAATCGCGGTAAAACGAACAGATGTTTAATACATTTGTTTTAAGTAGGTATTAAAATATATAATAGAGCAGGTGATTTCGTTCTCGCGCTATGAAAGTGGTCCCTGTAGTAGACTAAACCTTAAAAGAGTGCCTGCTAATAAATAAGTAAGAACTTTATATTTTCATAATTGCACACCAATAACAGATTAGTTCCCTATCATTTCATAAATTAATAAGTACTTGAAGAGCCTTGACACCGTGGTAAAGTTGCCTGCTTATCGGTATTTTACAGGATATATCACGGAGAGTGTGTGATGGAATTGCATGATTTGATTCCGCTTTCCCCTTTGCATCATCGGGGGACTATCGTGTGCTGGGGTTCCATCGTATGTTGCGGATATTCCCAGAATTCCCACGAAGCGTTTCGCTTCCACATTTAAATGGCGAGCGGCTAGGGAGTGGAATACTCTGCTTGCGGACTTATTCTCCGGACGCTATAACTTGGACCCTTTCAAAGCGAGAGTGAATAGGCATTATTTAGGTGTACATGCTATATCGTCGACCGAATCGTCACTTTCCACAGGTGAGATGGAGGTCAGACGTGCACTTATTTGTATATAAAAAACTTTATAATACTTTATACTTTACTAGCTGGTGCCCACGACGTCGTCTGTGTAGAATAGGTACTTCGAGTAGGTACTGTACCCTAATTTTCATAGTTTTATTGGTCCTCTACACAAACTTTCGTTCTCTATTTCACCCTCTTTAAGATTTGTTTTTGTGACTAAAAGTACAAAATTCATCAATAATGGTTTATGTTTAGGTGTGAAAACGTAATAGACGGAGTTTCGCATTTATGATATTAGTATATATTTCTACTTTATTACACCCTCAATAACAATAAGCCTTTATTCCAAAAAAATGTTTTGAAATTTCATTTATACAAAAAATAACAGATTAATTAAAATTAAAGTAAATGCAATTACATAAAATTAAGTTTCGAATTTATGTATAAAATTTTGAATTTATGGGCAAGCCCGTCTCTGCGCAGGCCGCCTCCATCCTGTGCTACTCGTCTCTGTCCGCAGCCAGTCATGTCCACGTTACTCTCGCCACTTGAGTGATCTCGACCGTGGAGCACCCTCTCGTTCCATCTGCTGTCAGTAGACCTTGCAAGATGTCCATCGTTACTTCAGACGACAAGTCATTTTTACCGCGTCTATTATCTTTGTTTGTTTTCGAATATCTGCACTAGTTGTTCTGTCTTTTATTTTTATAACCAACAAGTTTCTTTCTACGACCTCAATAATAAAATGACGAAAAGCGAAAAGTAAAATTTTTGTAAAAAATACTATAAACTACTAAATGAAACAAATATATCGTTTCTCATATCAAATTGAATTTTATCATAGCCAAATGGTATATGTTGCGTCTCGCCTGATTAAGTGTCGTAACTGGCGTTAAAAATACAAGACTAAAAAGTTCAGTGTAACATTTAACCAGTGTTAACACTTTACATCTTAAGTTGAAGCTCATGTCTGACTCGTTATATCAAGGAGCTAATGGAATGTTCACTTATAAAAACTGACCAAAATCCTACCCCTTATTCAGTTATAACAAAAATGTCAGATACGAAACTAGTACCACTTAGATATGACGTCCTCGGTGGCTCAACATTTTGTAATGTGGGCGTTGTATGAGCACGTCTCGGGTTTGATGCATTGTAGACCAATTTGGAACTTAACTTTTCTAAATTGGTACTGGTCTGGGTGTTCTGGTAAGTGCTTCAGAGTGAATTATGTCGCTCTGGTGCTCATAGTACAGAGGATTCCTTAGACTGAGAAGCAATTGGTGTGGATATCTGGCACATTATTATTATTACATTATATGCTAGTGGCTGGTACTACATACGTTATTTTTTTAAATAATTTTTAAAAATTTCCCAAAAATTACATTTTGGGTTTCGTCACTTTATTATTGAGAGTGCGATTATATTGTAAAAATAAAGCGACGATCCGGTGAAACAAAGGAAATAAATTCAAGGATTCTCTAATCTAGCAGGCCATCTGTGCTCGCCCGCATCGCCACGAGTATAATAACCGCGGTTTATATCCAATGATGTAAACTTAATGGCCGTACAATTTTGTACATTGTTATGTAGTACCTTTGAACTTCATGATTAATTTAGATTTGTGATACAACGACGATAATTGATATGATATTTGTTTTTTTAATAATATTAAGTGACGGGACGAACAAGTCGTGCGCCTGATGGTAAGCTACACGCCTGTCCGTAACAGCAGCAGTGCCACTCAGAACTTTAAATCGCAAAGATCTGAAGGGCGCTGCCACTGCGCATGTCACCCTGAGACATAAGTTGACTAGTCTCATGTGTTTGTAATTTCACCAGCACCCTTACCCTTCAAAAACTTCTTCTTCTTCGTACACAGGAAATGACTTAAGACCCCATGTCGGCGAAGTACGCGCGACTAGTGCATCATTCAAAGCCACATGCACTGCGACAATGCAAGCACTGCAGCAGTGCGTTGAACTTCTGCGAAGGCGCGAGAAGCAGGCGCGACAAGCCGAAGAACTATACATGTAAGTGACATTGGAAAGTGTCATCGGTTTTCATTCAAAGCACACGCAAAGAGATTATACACTTATTGCAGTACTATATTGTTAAACCAATACACTGCATGTCCCTGTATAGTGTTTTGTAATTTTATAACAGGAATCTTTCGGCTGTTATCCAGGTAAAACAAATTTATTAGTTATTCAATAGACTTTTTGCTTATTTTGCAAATTCAATTATAATGGCTAGAGATAATTCTTTAATATCTAATGTATATATATATATACACATTATATGTATAGTCAAGTACGTATACCATACTATACACTTTTATTCGAATATTGTGTCCAGAGCTACGAAACAAACAAAGATCGGTCAATGTATAACTTGGTGTGCTATCATCTATATCAGTAGTCAGCAAGTTAAATGTTATGTCTTTTATATTGTCAATCTGAAATTACAAAAAAAACAGGAAAATCCTTTTTGCAGCATTTTATCAAAATGCTGTTTTTCATATTACAGTGTATTGTTTGACACGGTAGAATAGTGCATCGAGTTTTTGCGAAGGCGGAATTAGCTGACAAACTTTAAATGTAAATGAAAATGACATAGATATTCATTCAAAGCTACACGCATTCGACAATGCAATCATGACAACAATAGATTGAGGTTCTTCAAAGACGCAATTAGCTAAATTTTACATGTTAGTGATATACACTATCTGGAAAACGACAGATATTCATTTAAAACCACAGGCTGTGCGACGATGCATGAAGGTTTTTTTAAGACACCCAGTGACGGGAACTAAAGAAAAAAAGACAGAAAGAGAAGAAGAAGAAAAGCTAAAGAAGAAAAGAAAAAAATCGTGGGCCTGGTAATAAGCAATAAGCCTGCGTGCATAAATAGTGAGTGATAAGTAAGACACGTGCAATGCGACATTGCAAGTTTTGTGGCACTGCGCATTTCTTTGAAATTCCGCGCAAAGGCGTGAAGCAACAGTGGTAAGGTTAGATAAAGAAGGGAACCTTAATCTAATGCAAATAAGACTCAAATGTTACGTTCTACGGCGAGCAATTTATGTACTATGATAACAATTTACGATCTGTCTATTGGCCTAACGGATTGCATGCCTATGCAAAGTAAATATATTAAGAATATTCGATTTGATTTTCTATTGTTACAGGGCCTTGAAAAATCAGTTAACGGAGGCTAGGCTTGCTTCCAAACCGGGACCTGATCACGAGGTGAGTAGTAGGTGTAATTTTACAAGTAATTAATGTTAGTCTGTTTTCTCAAGTTGTAATATCTAGGTAACGCATCACTTGCGCAAATAAAACACTGATCGTACCACATAATAATTTAGTAGAAAGCACTGGCGTTTGGACAAATTAGTTTAAATGTTTTTATACGAGATAATTCATTGTATGTATTTTACACTGTCCTTTTTAAGGTGAAAATGAATGTTGTTGAATCATGTTTCATTCTCGGCAACCTATTCTGCTATTGTACCGAAAAAAGGCTCTTTTTTATAATATCAAGTGACAGAACTAACAAGTCATGCGCCTGATGTTAACCTCCACCTACCACTCAGAGCTTTATATCGCAAAGATTTGAGGGGGACTGCCACTGCGCCCGTCACCCTGAGACATAAGTTGACAAGTCCCATGTGATTTTACCAGCACCCTTACCCTTTAAAAGCGGAACACTGTAATGCTGACATTACTGCTTGGCGGCAAAAATAAATGTACTTAGGGAAAGGTACTTCCCTGGACGAATTTTTTCACAAAGAGACTGCTACTAAATACGGGATCAGTCAAAAAAGTCTAATGTACGTACCTAATTTTTTGTAGAAATCTATCTCAATAATTGTTGGATGTACAGAAGCTCAAAAGGCACAACTGACATTAATAAATAATAATCAGAATTTCTACCATTAAGTCATAATTGATATTTATTAAGGTAAAGACACTTATATCGAGTTCTTAGGTTTTCGCAATGGTTACACATAGGAAATGAAACTATTTTTTTGCATCTAAACCGCGTATATTTCTTTTTCCAAACAAATCAACGTTTCGGGCCCTTTACAGGTTCCTTGGTCACAGGTCCCTTCATATCAGGCGTCACTAGGCCGAGAGTGGTGCGCTTTGTCCGAGAAGCATTCCCCGGTGAGAACATTTTTGTAGACTCACCGGAGTTTGCGAAAATTGACAGGGCGCATCGATGGTCTGAAGCAGAAGATAGCTGTTTGGGGCAAGCGCATTCGGCGATATTCCGAAAGGGTGAAGAGGTATCGGTAGAATCGTCTCTTCATGAGTGACCAAAAGAAGTTTTACAGGACACTGAAGCGTCCTGATATGGTCTTGACGGGTGAGCGTCCGGACAAAGCAGAACTGGTCGCCTTTTGGCGAAGGCTTTGGTCACAGCCCGTCGATCACGAAGATGGTTCGAAGCGATCGAGGGAGCGTATTCAACCATTGCGCCTGAGAACCCCATCAGCATATCCGAAGAGGATGTAGCGGTAGCGGTCCGTAAGGCTCCGAACTCGAAAAGTCCGGGACCGGACGGACTGCATCATTATTGATTGAAGGGGTTCTGGTGCTGCCACGCTACTCTAGCTCGTCAGTTTGAGAGTGGGAGTCTGCCAAACTTCTTAACTACTGGGGTCACTCATTTAGCTCCTAAGAGCGATGTTACCGCGGATCCATCACAACATCGCCCCATAACAGTCTTTGTACAATATTCAAGACTTTAACATCCGTTTTGAGCTCCAAGATAAGTTAGCACATTGTTGATAACAGTGTGATGTCTGGAGCTCAAAACGGATGTAGGGGCGGTAGCCGTGGTAGTAAAGAGCTACTCCTCATCGACGCGGTCGCTGGCCAACTTGTCAGACGCAACCGTCGGAATTTCTCCGCTGCCTGGATAGACTACAGGAAAGCATTCGACTCGGTGCCCCACTCATGGCTCTCGAGGGTCCTTGAACTGTATAAAATTGATAGTGCAGTTCGACACTTCTTCGGGCAATGCATGGGGTGTTGGAGAACGATCCTGAGTCTGGATGGTCGGCAGATGACCGAATAGAAATAAGGCGAGGTATTTTCCAGGGCGATTGTCCCAGTCCAGTGGTTTTGCCTGGCCTGAACCCTCTGAGTACTCTATTAGAGAGGTCGCGGATAGGCTTTCAGTTTCGGAGATGTGCGCTGCGAATGCCTCACCTTCTCTACATGGACGATCTCAAGCTGTACGGCCCCACAGCTGACAGATTGACGGAGCTACTGAACCAACGATTTCAGTAGTTCGCATAGGATGGAGCTTGGGATCGACAAGTGTGCGGTGGTCTATGTCGAGAGGAGACGTGTCATGTATTCCGATGGCATTAATGTTGGCACTAATCACCTGCGGGTGCTCTCCGAGACAGAAACACTCCGGTATCTGAGCATGTCACAGACCATCCGTGTGAAGGAAGCAGACGTGAAACAGGTTGTGCGCGAGTTTTTTATTGGCGCCTGAAAAATGTGCTAATCAGCTATTTTTTAGGCGTTAATAAGATCCGAGCTTATAACTCATGGGTTATGCCTGTTCTGATGTACACGCCAAATGCGTGCTCAGATGGACTCAGACGGAATTAGACGCTCTGGATAGACGAGTCCGCACGACGTTGACCTCTCACCGAATGCATCATCCGAGATCGTAGTTTATGAGATTGTATATCCCGCGGAAGTGTGGAGGTAGAGGCCTATTAAGTATCAAAACCATGCACAACCGCGAGATATGCAATCTCAGAAACTATTTTTTGACGATGACGGATGACGTAATTCGTGACAAAGGACTAACTTCCTTATCGTTGGCCAAAAAGGATTGGCAATACCAGGTGCTGCTTAGCACCTCTGACCGCGAGTCCGTATGGAAAGAGAAGGAGGTCCATGGGAGGTTCTTCAAGGTACCACGAGTCCTTTATGGACCGTAAAGCCTCCCTACATTGGCTGCGTTTCGGGGAATACAGGATCAGGTTATCAAGACGCGGAACTATCCGAAATATATCCTAAAGGACGGTACAGTAGACACTTGTCGGGCATGTGGCCGTCCCGGAGAGTCACTCAGGCATATTGTTTCCAGTTGTTCCGCTCTTGCTAACACTGACCACTTGCACAGACATAATCAGGCTGCCAAAATATTACATCAAGAGCTCGCTCTGGAGTACAGACTCGTGCAACAGAGGTTGTCATATTACAAGTATTCACCGGAGCCAGTATTCGAAGATGACCCGCACCAAAATCTATTGGGATCGATCCATTATCACGGACAGGACTATTCTTGCGAATAAGCCTGACATTGTGATATTGAATCGATCGCATTCGAGGGTATTTCTTGTGGACGTTACTATCCCGCATGACGAGGGTCTCGTGAAAGCCGAAACAGCACGAGATCACCAACATGTGCGATTGTGGCCTCCACAGAATGGATTAATTCCAGTCAGCCTTTCTAACAGCTTGTGGCGGTTGGATTTCTGTGGCGTGTCACTTCCAGCACAAATGCAGAAGGCGGTCCTGCTCGATACTGCATGTATTGTTCGCCGGTTCTTAGACCTGATTCCCTGACCCCGGCCGACTGTGTCATTGCCAGGAAATACCGCCTCTCCCATTTAAAAATTCAAAGTTAATCTTTTAGGCCTTGGGAGAGGCGAGAGTCTAAAATAGATATAATAATAATAGTCCCATTATAATTTCTTCGTCAATTGGTATCATACCGAAAACCTTTCATACCGCCTTAAAAATGACAGATCTGCACCCTAAAACCTACATATCTCTACAAAAGTCAATTGTACTAGACACATGCTCGATAGGCCGCTGTTTCTTAAATACACCTGATTCAACAAACTCCACAAAAAATCAAACTCACTCACATCCCATCACAATACCACAACCGGACCAGAATACTTGGCTTAGACCCGTACTTGGTTCCAAATATCCAAAATACCTTCAGTCGAGTACAAGAAAAAATCTTAACATAATAATAATAAATCGATTGATTTTCATTCGATTTTACATCACCACATCTCTAGAAAATTCAAATATCAAACGACACCGGAATCATCATGCTATAAATATATGAAATGAACCTTAGTTGATCTCTAACTCTCTTAGAACTGAGGGCATTTTTCTGTGAATGACATAAATCTATCAAATAAAATTAAAAAAACTAAAAACGACAACTGTTTATATCAAAAATGTTACAACGGCGCCGCGTCGGGTCCATACCCGATTACATTACCTTTTTCTTTTCATTTATTTTCTTTACATTTCATTAATTCTAATTTTTTATGCCAGATCATCAATAATGAAATGATCACACTATTTTCAACGACTCTTGACTACCAAAGCAACGAAATAAAACCCCGGGGCACTAGCAATAATACACAGGACACATTAAGAAAAAACACTCCTATATTTCTTCTTCGGGAAATCGAACACCAAAGAGGTTAATCGCCAAGCCACTAGGGTGGACATCATCAAAATTAACGTTTACAACAAACTCCGTATATATCTTTACTTTGTAGGCTGTCCAAGGAAATACTACTCAGTTTAATTGAAGCGAAAAAGCAATTTTCATTTCCACAATTCTGTTTGTACAAATAATTGAAGAGAAAATTGCCCTCGCATACCTCAGCATATCCAACTCTGTACGAGTGTAGCATTCTGGACTTCGGCCAGTGTGTGGTGATCTGTCACAGAAGTAACAGATGGTTTTTTTAATTATTATAATTATTAAATCTTTAAAACTTTGTTACTTCTGTTTACAATAGCGGCGTTGATAATCACCTAAATAAAATGATCAGAAAATACAACAGTATTTTTATGTTTATTGCATTATTAATTATTACATCTTCAAAGTCGACTTTTGTTACCATTTCTTTTGGAGTCGATGGTCCTGACATAGTATACATTGTCATATATATGTATGTATACTATATCCAATAATGTTTAGTGTAAAATCGTCGGTCTTCGTCATATAATAACAAGTACTTATACAAATCTTAAAGCTATTCGTTAACATTAATAGTAGATTGTACCACAAGTGCATAAAACGCGTCATTTTACCCATGGATACTTAAGTCGAGAGTAAAATGGGTTTTATGAACGAGTTATACACTCTGCTTTTCACTTCGATTGCGAGGAAATTAAACAGCAATATTACAAATAAACGATTATTTAATTCAAATTGAATGTAAAATTACAACAATTAG